AAATACAGGAAGTTCTCTCCTTTACTGCTAATATTCACATTACTCTACATTACTGAAAATGAATTAAAACTATTATGTATTAAGAAAGAAATTGTCTTCCCCTAATGTGCTTTTTTAAGATATTATACCTTCATCATTAAATAAATTACATAATGAGTCACTGTATATACACAGATACACATATTATACAAATGATGCTCAACTGCTTTCCTCGTTGACACTTCCTCATCCTCTCAGATATTATTTAGACAATTCTAACTACAACATTTTGAAATATATTTGAATACAAAGAAACACCAGCAGACAAAGGGGAATGGAAATAGGTGGCATAACTCATGCCAGTCTTAAACTGCCTGCAATCAGCTCATTCACCCTCCCCGGTGTACATAACAGCTTCTCATCAGCCCATCTTCCTGCAGTATATTCTCTTCATTTACCCCTCACCAGATTGTTGTTCAGCCATCGTGGATTGTAACTCATCTGCCAGTCTTCCTACTTGTCTGTCTGCCTGCTTGCAACCTCTTTATTCACCCCCGCTCACACCAGCCACACTCCTCCACTTCCACCATTACCCCTGCTGCTGCCAGATCTTCATTCCCTGGCATCAGCCCTCATCTAAATCCTCTTCACAAACAAATACTCTCTACTTACTAACACTACCCTGGTCTGTGTCCTGCCTATTGATCCCGCTTGTTTGTAATATGTACTTTGTATGGTTTGAAAGCTGCTAGATGTAACTTCACCCACCTACTGGACAAAAAGGACCTGTATCCGTATCCAAAGGTATACAAGTTTCTGGATCTGCATCCAGATCTGTATATCATATCAAATTCTATCATATACAAATAAAAGTCTGTAACCTTCTGCAATATGGAAAGTATCTGTCTGAATACAAATGTATTACCACCATGGATGTTTCTGTATTGTTGTGCATTTATTCTAGTGCCCATGACTGAACTACTGCAGAACTACAGACAGTTTAGTCCTGTGATGGCCGCCCTAGCAGCCACACACTGAGGCAAAAGCACATGGTGGTAACTCTTTCATTTGTTTTATCGTCTGTTCCCCCTGTGTGTCAGAGTGGCCTGATCAGCCACTATTTAACTTTCCCAATGTCTCAGTTTAGTTAGGTCAGTTTGGTTGGTTGGTTTAGTATGTTCAGTCCGTTCAGTTAATGTAGCCTGAGTTAAGTTCTGTTTAGTTGACCTCTTTTATAGGCCCAGAACATTTTGTAAATTTTGTAAATTGATTATTTTCACCTTTTTTTTTTTTTTTTTTTCACTTTTTGTGAAAATTTACCCTTGACTCCTCATGCCTGCCAGCTCGGTCCCTGACAAGTCCCTACTGCTCATATCCTATGAGCAAAGAAGTCAAATATTATGAAATCTTAAAATCTTTAGGTTTCAAATAACTAATTCATCCTATAGGATTTTCATTTATAACACAACTCATTGCAAGCCTTTATACATATATTAAATAACTAGAATAAGTGATAAAAAGTTTATGTTGCATGAAAAACTGCATTTTTATTTTATTTAACACACATCACATACATCTAATTATAATAAATCACATAATCTAAGAATATGTTTGATATCTTAAGAAAAGAAACAGCAGAGGTTTATAAAGTATTTGAAAAAAATCACTAAGTAAAATTACAAATACCATAACTGAAAATGACTTTGGTAAAAGTTAAAGTCACCCATGAGAAAAATCACTTGAGTAAAAGTCTTGAATTAGATCACATTAGATGTACTTAAGTATCAAAATTCTTGTAAAAAAATATACTCAAGTATCAAAAGAACAAGTACAAGTAAAGTACAAAGTATTTTTATAGTGCGCATAAAAATAAGCAAAACAGCTAAAAATGGTTCTCCCCTTGTTCTCTTTATTTCACTTTCAGGTGAATGAAATAGATGTGGTATGATAAAACAAAAACAAAAAAACATCTGAGCAAACATGTAGAGTGAGTGAATCAAGTGTCTCGTGTCTGCCTGAGAACATAACTATAAATAAAGCGTCTGTCTGCCTAAGACCGCAAAAAAATGCCTTCTATCTGCCTCAGAGAACACAACTAAATTAGGTGCCTTGTGTTTGGTTAAGAATACAACTTAAAAAATACATTCTCACTACACACAGCACCATCACTGCAGACTGGTTGCACATCACTTTTTATGTTTTAGGATTTTCACCCATCCCAAGGTAGCCAAACATTGTTGCCAGGTATGACCACGGTGGGTGACTGTCGTCTTCTACCGAAGGAGATGTTGTCAGTTTGGTAACGTCTTCTATGTCTTCCTCATCAACGTTAATTGTTAAAGTCTTGATTAAAAAAAAAACTCAAGTAAAGTACAGATCCTCAAAAAAACTACTTCAGTAGTGTCACGAAGTACATCTACTTCGTTACTATACACCTCTGTAAATCAGTTCAACATAAGAAAAAATAATTAAACATGTTTTTGCTTTTGAGTTATACTCACTTTAACAAAGAAACAGAAGAAAAAACATCACATAAAAATAATATTCACACAAGTCTGGGGTCATGTTTAAAGCAAGTAGTAACATTAAGTATTTACAGGCCGGGAGAAAACTAACAAGAAGAAACTTCAGACTGAGAGATGAATACAGAAGAGAAGATACAGCATGTCGTTCCTGTTACACACCACATCTTCCTCCTCTCCTTGTGACTCATGTTGACAACTCAGTCACTGTGTTGGCATAGTGTGACTGTACTGACAACTCAGTCACTGTGTTGGCATAGTGTGCCACTACTGCATCCTGTGGAGGTGAAACAAGAGAGAGTGGTGTTAGTAAGGAACTGCTCCCGATGAGCAGATTGGTACCCTGCATTGCAGCCTCCACTGTCAGCGTATTAATTTGTATGGGTGAATGTTGGCATGTGTGGTAAAGTGCTTTGAGTGGTTAATAGACTAGAAAAGAGCTGCATAAATGCATTACATTAACTGTGGAATATAGTTTCTATCTATCTACAGGTATCTTTTTCGGATGTTTCGTAATCAGAAATCTGTGTCTTTGTGAATGAATAAATTGGATCCTGATCCCAAGAGACATCAAAGGTGGGCTATGTAATGCATAATTGATAACTTCTCTCGCTGGGTCTAATTCAAACAGCTGTGTCTGTGACATATTCTACAGATGTACATCGAACCAGCAGTGAAAGGTGTAATGTTGCTGCTATATTGTCGATATGATGATAAACAGATCACTTTCACAATCTATTTTTGCTGAGAACCACATGTGGGAGAAATAGGCGTTGCTCACACAGGCTGTTTGGTTGCTTTAACCTTTTAACCAAAATAAAAAGCAACATTTTCCATGACGCACACAGGCAGTGTGTTCCGGCCGTAAAGTGCTGCACTGCATTGTGGTGTGGTGACGCTGCAGTAGGTGGAAACTGTCCTTTCAGCATTATCGCTTTTCAAGGATTATTCCTTTATGAATGCTGAACATCATATTTATATTGATATACCTCTCCTTAGCAGCTTACCTTCATTGGTTTGGTGGAGTGTCTTAATCGAAACCAGCTGGAAGAGAAAGATGATAGAATTAAGTGTTTGAGTTCATGCTATAATGATACTGATCTCATACAGTCAAACCACATTTAAAATTAGACCCAATCTGCAAATAATTATATGGAAAGGTTTGTCTCACCACTCAAAGATGACCAACACACTGATGAGCATTATGATTCCCACGATCTTCAGTATAACATGGACGCCAAGCAGTTCAAACTGTTGATCACCTGTAACACAACAGCATGGTCACCTTCTGAAATGGTATTGCTCTTCCTCCATTTGGTTGTGAGAGTCATGTTGGAGAAACAAACCAAATATGAGAGACTACTACAAGAAGAAGTTTCTTTTCAAAGATCAAAGTAAATTTATTCAGTCCAGTTCAGTATTTACCTGCATCAATAAGACGAATCACTGATGATATTTCATTACCGATATCATTTGTAGCCACACAATAATAATCTCCTCCATCTGTCACATTGAAGCTGTAAAACGGTCCTTCAGATACATTCATGGGTCCATCTGTGCTGTTCTTGAACCAGGTGAAGCGGCTGACGGGAGGCTTGGCTCTGCTGGAGCAGGTCAGGTTCACCCAGCTACCTGCTGACACCAAACTTGTTGGACTGATGGACACTGAGGTGTCTTTAGGAGCATCTGAGGAAAATGTGAGATTAACTTTATTCATTAAAAATCAGCTGATATCCCATGAATCATCATGTGCTGACAGGATCCAATAACAAACTCTGGTTGTCTTACATGAAACACTGAGAGTCTTTCTCTCCTCTGCTGTCTTGTTATCTTTTCCCTCATTCACAGGATATCTGACAGAACAGGTGATGTTGTATCCATCATGTTGGTCTGACAGAGTAATGCTCTCCTGGATTTTAGTTGTGAAGGTTCCATCTGTGTTTTCCTCTATTTGGTTGTGAGAGTCTTGTTGGAGATTCCAGGTGAGTTTAGGAGGGGAGTGTGGACAGGGAGTGAAAGCTGAGCAGGTTATAGTGACAGACTGCTTCTCCTTCAGATCACCTGAGATCTCAATTCTGGGGCTCGGAGGAGAATCTGTGGTTTAATCAAACACATTTTATACTAAAAGTAGATTAAAAAAGACTTAACACTTTGTGTTTTGAAATGCTAACACTTCTGTGCCAAAAGTGCATGTGCACTGCACTATGAATACAGTTTGTTCTGCTTTTCAGTGTCTCAGAATTTGACAATTTTAATGTCAAACTGTAACAATAGACTCAGTGTTTAATCAGAATTTAAATTTGTGGTAAAGTGAAAAACCTCCAAATAAGATAGTGTGTGCTAGGCCAAAACTGTATCTGATTTCACTTTTTATTCTAAACAATAACATTAAAGACTGACTGAAAGAAACAAAGCTCTCTTACCTTTAACTGTTATTTGAATAGGATCACAAACAGCTGTTGCTTTGAAAGGCCAGTTCATGATTCTGAAGTAGTATGTGTCTGTATAACTTGTGACTAAACTGGAAAACAGAGTGGTGCAGTTTTTCTGACTCAGGTTTCCAGTAATATTCATTGGATACGTGTTAACTGTCTTACTACTGTTGAAAATCACATTGTTTGGATAGAGGTCAAATCTGTATTTAGTTTTTATCCATACTCCAAAGGTTTCTCTTGTGCTGTTAAAATCTTGTTCTGGTTCAGCACTAAAGTTACATGGGATTTGCAAACAAGATCCACTCAGTGCTTCCATATTCTGTGGTGCAGTAATGAAGAGGTTTGTGTGTGGAGGGCAAGCAGCCAAAGCACCTGTAAAATCAGACTTATAATGAACAAAATGTGGAAAAACGGAGAAAAGGCCAAAAGATAAATTAAAAGTATTATTTTGCATTGTAATCTTGTTTGAATGTACTGTTTTTCAATGATTCATTCTTATTGGTTTACAACAAGCAGATAACAACCTCCCCTTAATCCCCCTTGATGAACCCGACCCCAGTGGGGGCCGATCCCTTTATACCCACCAAAAGATCTCCAGATAATACATCAGTATTGTCACAGTGACACAAGAACTCACATTCATTTAGGGTAAAGAACATTGTGCTTTGTAAAAGATAAACAATAAATGACTGAACATCAGCTCACCTGAAAGAAAGAAGACACTCAGTAACATGTTGGCTGTCACCATGTTCACAGACAGGACGGCAATCACACTCATCACCTGGATTAACAAACACATCAGTGCAGTTACAAAGTATTCAATACGCTCTGTACAACCACAATTTACTGTGTTGTAAGTGACAACCAAAGTCTACACAGTGGGAATGAATACGACTCTCTGGGTTAAATAAGGAATAAAATGAGTAAGTAATTCTGTTTTACCAAAGAAGCCCACATCAAGCAACAATCAGATCCTTTCGTTGGTTGTTTTAAAGTGAAAATGGTTCCAATTTATGAATTTGAGCTGAAGGGCAACAATCCAGTTCAACAAACCAACTTCCCCGTTTCATTGTGATTTGATATCAAGTCGACTTCCTCCTGTACGCTTAAAAACCACACAGTCCAGTTGGTTTTTATATTGGACAAATACAGGAAGTTCTCTCCTTTACTGCAAATATTCACATTACTCTACATTACTGAAAATAAATTAAAACTATTATGTATTAAGAAAGAAATTGTCTTCACTTCATGTGCTTTTTAAGGATATTATACCTTCATCATTAAATAAATTACATAATGAGTCACTGTATATACACAGGTACACATATTATACAAATGATGCTCAACTGCTTTCCTCATTGACACTTCCTCATCCTCTCAGATATTCTTTAAACAATTCTAACTACAACATTTTGAAATATATTTGAATACAAAGAAACACCAGCAAACAAAGGGGAATGGAAATAGGTGGCATAACTCATGCCAGTCTTAAACTGCCTGCAATCAGCTCATTCACCCTCCCCGGTGTGCATATCAGCTTCTCATCAGCCCATCTTTCTGCAGTATATTCTCTTAATTTACCCCTCACCAGATTGTTGTTCAGCCATCGTGGATTATAACTCATCTGCCAGTCTTCCTACTTGTCTGTCTGCGTGCTTGCAACCTCTTTATTCACCCCCGCACACACCAGCCACACTCCTCCACTTCCACCATTACCCCTGCTGCTGCCAGATCTTCATTCCCTGGCATCAGCCCTCATCTAAATCCTCTTCTCAAACAAATACTCTCTACTTACTAACACTACCCTGTGACAAGGCGTAACGGCAGACACCCAGACAGTATGAAGGTTAAAGGGGGTTTTATCCACGCACACACACACACAGGGATGAGGGGCGGCCACGCAGGAACGGGTGGGTGAGATGGCGGAAGAGACCGGACACAGGGCGACACAGGAAGCCAAACTACAAGGACCCAATACTGAGAGGAGCCACGAGTTACCACCACATAGGCTGAAACAATCTGGCAGAGTGGGAAAAACCGGGTTCTGAAGGCTGAGGCATGATGAATGATTGAGAGCAGGTGAACAGCAGGAGAAAAGGAGGCCGCACCCTCAGGCACACAGGAGGGGGACAAAGGGGCAGGGGCGAGCCTACACCCTGAGGGGTATTGCACAAAACCAAGATAAGGGATTAAGCCGGGATATGTTGGTTATCCTGGCTCAATTTAGCCACAAGTCGGTTGCATGAAAGCAGCTCAAACTTATCCCGGCCAAGTTACTATGGTGATTTATTCTCTGCAGCTAGCCTTCTCCAGACCAGCCTAACAGCCAGGCTAAGATTAATCCTAGTGATTCACCTGTATTTCCACCGTCAATCCTGTGAGGAATTAATGTGTTTTACAGCATGTCCATGGTCTTTCTAAGTATGTTGCATCATTTTAATTATCCTGCATTCAAATATTACATATATATTGTCATTTCTCATTTCATTTTAAATCTGTTGGCTGTTTGTAATTGCAACAGTCTTTTTATATTGATTCAAATGGTAGTATTATTACTCAGGACAAGTGTTATATTGCTATGCTAATGAAGACTGCTTGTCAAATTGCATAAATATGTGTTTTATTGCAATAATTGAGATTACAAAACACAGCTGATAAGGTTGCAAAGGTGTTTTCAATGAAATCTGTGACAAGGGCAATATAGTATATATATTATGGCATGCTGTTTAGGAAATTAATGTTTGAATATATAAAATGAAACTTTGAATATATGGAATGAAACTTGACTGGTCATCAAGGCACTGCTGCCATCTTGTAGAAGAGAGAATGAGTCAGTCAGGAACCTTGTGGCAGCAATACTGAGCAATGAGAACATTATTAACTCACGGGCCAAAATCCTTCCCATAGTACCCGTGCCCAATACCGTTCTCCTGACGAAGAAGTTCACTCCCTTTTTAATCGTGGCAGGCCGACTACAACAGGCCTCAGGCAAAATCCTGACAGAAAAAGCAAAAAGGTTTTCCAGTTCAAGAAAGTATTGTAATATTTCAACTGATGCCATTTTGTAAAACCAGCTAATTCAGAAGGCTATCACTTTGAAGAAAAGGATACAACTAGGTTTTGAATTTCATTCAGTATTCTCACATTTTTATCAGTATATTCAAAGAATCATTCCATATATTCAAAGCTTCATTTCCTAAACGGCATGCCATAATATATACATATATATATATACACACACACACACACACACACACACACATATATATATATATTATTCACACCTGTTCCCCTCATAATGGCTTGCCCTTTTGGAGGATGTACGGATGAGGAAGCCAATCCAGACGAGCATTTAGTCTTCTGGGATAGGTCAGACCCATTGGCCTGGAGATGACTATCTCATTGAGAGATACAGATTCTCAGGTGATGGACAAGATATTTATGTAGGCTGCTGGGTCCAAAAATACAGCACTAGACGGCACAAAGCCATGCTCTCACTGTACCACAGATGGTCTGTGTTACATTGAGATGTTTTGCAAGTGGGAGCTTCCTTCATTCTGTTGGGGATGCAGAGAACCTCAATAAAGGAACCATTTGCCGCACAAATGCTTGTGGGCCGCCCCCTGTGCCAGTTCTATGGGCTTTTTTTTTTAACTGCTACAATCATACAGACATTCAACATGTCAGCAGACACCTAATGTAGTCACTTCAATTGTTCACTGTTATCTACTTTATAGTCACTTTCCAGCCTGCACAATGTTCTTGTATTTAACTTTAACTTGCTGCCAGATCCTTTTATGGCCAGACAAGTTTGTTCTTTATGAAGGATAGAAAGATAAAATAGATAAAAATAGATTAAATGACACACATTGTGGATAACTGTTTGCACTTAATCATACTTTACATCTGAGTAACATGCACCTGTACTTGCCACATTTAAAGCAAAGTGTACAACAGTTGATTAGTGGACTTAAAGTAACTCATTTAGTCCTTTAATTGTTTGTTTCCATCCAGGGAGTCCCTGTGGACACTGTTGAGGAATATAAGTACATGGAGGTGTACTTTAATAATAAGCTGGACTGGACTAGAAACACTGAGGCGGTCTACAAAAGGGCCAAAGCCGACTCTTTTTCCAAAGGAGGCTGAGGTCCTTTAACATCTGCCGGACGATGCTGAGGATGTTCTATGAGTCTGTTGTGGCCAGTACGATCTTCTTCGCTGTCACATGCTGGGGCAGTGGGCTGAGGGTCGCAGACAACAAGAGACTAAACAAACTGATCAAGAGGGCCGGTGATGTCGTAGGGGAGGAGCTGGACACCCTGATGACCGTGGCAGAGAGAAGGATGCTGTCCAGGCTTCAGTCCATCTTGAACAATGTCTCACACCCTCTCTACGACACACTGGCCCAGCAGAGTGGCACCTTCAGCAGAAGACTCCTCTCACCCAGATGCACTACAGAGCGCCACAGGAAATCATGGTAACACTTTATAATGAGTACACACTATTAAGCATTAGTTAAGCATGAATAAATACTGAATTCATCATTTATAACGCATGAATACACATTAGTACGTAGTTTAGAAACAAAGTTAAAAAAATTGTATTCATCATTGATAAGCACATTAGTTATGGATTAGTAAATACTGAATTCATCACTTATAAAGCATGATTCTGATGTAAATAGTCATTACTATGTGGTTTATAATCACAGTTATAAATGTTTTACTCTTCATTGTACTGTACATTTCTGCATGCACTTGCACATCCACTATTCAGACATGTATTAATGATTAGTGACTGTGTTAGCAGATGTTCTATAAAACTCACAACAAATTCATTTTCTAATGATGGCCTATAAACAGTTATTAATGCAGGAATTCACAGTTACAAAGGACTTACTACTCGTTAATTAAGTATTTTGCACGAGCTTATCTAAAGTGAGCACTATCTATGGCTTATTAAGGATTTACAAATGAGATATAAAGGCTGACAATGCCTCGAGACTCACAAAATGCTCAGTTATCTTAACAGACGAAGGAGACACAACACAAAGGGATATAGAACATATTGTATTGATATTTACGCAACTTCCCAACATATTGTAGAAGACGAACAAGGGTGGTTTATGAAACATGCTATTGTTGTGATCTTATCTGTTTGGGACGTGTACGTTGAGCCCCACTCTCAGCACGT